CCAGGACTTCTCCCAAGATCTCAGCAAAGCAAGCGTATAGTTTTACTGGAGAGATTTTGGACCAAACCCCAGAGCCAGTCAGCTGAAGCATTGTGTTGGAGAAAATACATAGCTAGAAACATTGTTAACACTTTAATTAAGGTGGTTCATTGTCAGAATCGCTTCCACAGATAAGGCACCGGCCTCCATGCTGTAGCGGTTAGGCACGTGGCCGTCGCATGCAGAAAACATGTGTTTCATTCCCTAGCGGGGAAAATTTTTATCAAATATCTCGGTCTTTCTTTTGGGAGGTTGTAGCCCTCCCAGCTCGGGTTGGTCCTAACAGGCAAAGCCGAAGCCCACCTCCTTGTTGATAGCGTAAAACATGAATTAAAAACAAAACAAACGCACACAGATACTTACACACACACACACACACACACACACACACACACACACACACACACACACACACACACACACACAGACAAACCATCCGCGGGGGGATGGGGTGGATATTGCCCACAAAATCTAGGTTGGTCCAAACAAAAATTGGCTGCGATTTTAAACAGATATAGACTTTGTTAATATAGGAATGTAAAACATTTTCAATGAAATAAAAACCCTGTTACATATCTGTCACTTTTGCCAAACGGTGCTTAGCACAGTGATTAATTTCAATCTTTTTTAAAATCTGTGTGCTCGTTGATTTATACATCCATGATGCCAGAGAATGTTAGCACATCGGCTTCCTACGGGACACTGATCAGAGACAATACGTCAAACCGGATAGTACAGTGAAACAATACCGGTCTAACACCGGTTGAAACCTCCAACTTTCGCGCACAGGTCGACACTGTTTTACAGAGTTGGGCTTACAGACGAAAAAAAGTCTCGGATTTTTCGCTGATCCTGCCCCAGGCGAAGTAATATCGTCGGGAGGAATGGAGGGGCAAAAAAAAGATACAAGCAAAAACACCCACAGGTGTAAAAGGGAAAGGAAAAGGTGTAGATGAGGGTGAGAACAGATTCACGTTACCGCCCGTACTGAGACAACAGATCCGACCTTTGAGGAGAAACAACGCTTTTGCACCGATGAAAGCGGAGAGTTTCCCGGGGATTCCGCTGAAAAAACTGGCGCCCTCCCAGGCTTCGAACTGCCCGTAGCACCTTAGCTTCTGTCAAGGAACGCGCAACTACATAGAAACACAGTACTTCAAAGCAAAATCTTAAATGATAAATAGGGATTTCTACATTTTTGGCAAGTTTAAAGTGTCTAAATTGGTGCTTTTTAAAATGTTAATGTTGTTTGCTTCTTATTCATTTGAAAAAAAAAAATTTCCGTTGAAGATATTTGGCATGGATTCAGGTGATCGCTATGTCTGGTGGACAGATAGCCTAGTACTAATAATTTACCCCCAAACTCTTATAAGGTGTCCACAAAAAATACAGGTTGAAACGTTGAAACTGATGGATATCAGGTGATACTTGCAGCACCAGGTTTTATGCCAGGTCACATTTAAGGAGTCCATTTTAAAAATCACGTAAAATTAAAACGTAGTAGAAATAACTAGTTGCACGTAGCCCCAAGGCTACTGGAATACTGCAAAAATTGTGTTTTGAAGCCAGGGGCGTCGTCGGTTGTTTGTTCTAGGGGGCGGGAATCTACGGCGAGTCTGCTCGTTGGTGGGCTCTTTTCGTGGTTCACACACACACACACACACACACACACACACACACACACACACACACACACACACATACAATGCCCGTGCTTGTTCTTTCGTGATGGGGATGGACGCTGACGTCACGTCAGCGAAGAGTCAAGTTCCAACAGACGATTCAGAAACGAACTTTACTCCACCAGATCCACCGCAACGTTTACAAACAATGTGCACCTTACCCTACCACCCTGGCGTTCCTATCTCTGCTACGTCTTTCCACTACCATTAGCGAGACAATTAAGGCTTTGAAAAGATCCGTCTCATAGAGCAGATACCCAGCAGGGTTGTTGAACTTCTGTCAAACAGTTTTGATTTCTATCGCACCGTTTAAAATCCTTTTTTGTGATAGAGACTCGTGCATGTCAGCTCAACTTTTGTTTCGAAACCACACCCATGGATCGGCAGAGAGGGAAAACAAACTTATTGCTTGAATTAAAAACACTGAAGAAAACTGTGGGCTTCACCGGCAGCAAAAGGACATTATTATTTTTTTAATAGTGAGATTTTAGTGGATTTTTGCTTTGTTTTGGTGCTTTACCCAACAAACCAAAAGGATAAATCCTTTGTTAAAGAATATATCGTCAGTCTGTAAGTCTAAAAAAGCTATCTCCTGTTATTATTCCTGGAATCTACAAATTTACGTTGTCCACATTACTTCTTTAATTTTTTAAAATGATGTCATATTTCTGTTTTGTTGCAGAGGCTTAGCGCTTCCGCTTCTGTTTTCTTTCGTTTCTCTTCCATAACAATCCGGTTATATGAAAGCCATTTCCCTCACTGCAATGCATAGCACGGACAGAATCATTGACCGGTCGTATATCAGAAACGAACCATTACTCGCCTACCAACAGCAGTCGGTTGGGAGAAACCGATATCGTTATTCTCCCATCAGCCTACAGGGCTTGATTGTTTACCCATGATACCGAGACGGAAGACACAGGAAGTGGGAAATCGCTTTGCTGATAGTCACTGGCGTTTCTATCCTTTCCCTTCTCAACCTGTATTTTCTCTCCTACCGCCCCCTCCCCCCTTTTACTTTGTCTGTCTGTCTGTCTGTCTGTCTATATGTA